GTTTGTAAATCATCGTTGTTGTTGTCGGTTTGTAAATCATCGTTGTTGTTGTCGGTTTGTAAATCATCGTTGTTGTTGTTATCGGTTTGTAAATCATCGTTGTTGTTATCGGTTTGTAAATCATCATTGTTGTTGTTATCGGTTTGTAAATAATCGTTGTTGTTGTTGTGGGTTTGTAAATCATTGTTGTTGTTGTTGTCGGTTTGTAAATGATTGTTGTTGTTGTCGTTATTGGTTTGTAAATCATCGTTGTTGTTGTTGTTATCGGTCTGTAAATCATCGTTGTTGTTATCGGTTTGTAAATGATTGTTGTTGTTGTTGTTATCGGTTTGTAAATCATCGTTGTTGTTGTTGTTGTTATCGGTTTGTAAATCATCGTTGTTGTTGTCGTTGTTATCGGTTTGTAAATCATCGTTGTTGTTGTTGTTGTTGTTGTTGTTGTCGGTTTGTAAATCATCGTTGTTGTTGTTGTTATCAGTTTGTAAATCATCGTTGTTGTTGTTGTTGTTATCGGTTTGTAAATCATCGTTGTTGTCGGTTTGTAAATCATCGTTGTTGTTGTTGTTATCAGTTTGTAAATCATCGTTGTTGTTGTTGTTGCTGGTTTGTAAATCATCGTTGTTGTCGGTTTGTAAATCATCGTTGTTGTTGTTGTGGGTTTGTAAATCATCGTTGTTGTTGTCGTTATCGGTTTTTAAATCATCGTTGTTGTTGTCGGTTTGTAAATCATCGTTGTTGTTGTTGTTGCTGGTTTGTAAATCATCGTTGTTGTTGTTATCGGTTTGTACATCATCATTGTTGTCGGTTTGTAATTCATCGTTGTTGTTACCGGTTTGTAAATCATCGTTGTTGTTGTTGTCGGTTTGTAAATCATCGTTGTTGTTGTTGTCGGTTTGTAAATCATTGTTGTTGTTGTTATCGGTTTGTAAATCATCGTTGTTGTTGTTGTGGGTTTGTAAATCATCGTTGTTGTTGTTGTTATCGGTTTGTAAATCATCGTTGTTGTTATCGGTTTGTAAATGATTGTTGTTGTTGTTGTTATCGGTTTGTAAATCATCGTTGTTGTTGTTGTTATCGGTTTGTAAATCATCGTTGTTGTTGTCGTTGTTATCGGTTTGTAAATCATCGTTGTTGTTGTTGTTGTCGGTTTGTAAATCATCGTTGTTGTTGTTATCAGTTTGTAAATCATCGTTGTTGTTGTTGTTGTTATCGGTTTGTAAATCATCGTTGTTGTTGTTGCTGGTTTGTAAATCATCGTTGTTGTCGGTTTGTAAATCATCGTTGTTGTTGTTGTTGTGGGTTTGTAAATCATCGTTGTTGTTGTCGTTATCGGTTTGTAAATCGTTGTTGTTGTCGGTTTGTAAATCATCGTTGTTGTTGTTGTTGCTGGTTTGTAAATCATCGTTGTTGTTGTTATCGGTTTGTACATCATCATTGTTGTTGTTGTTGTCGGTTTGTAAATCATCGTTGTTGTTACTGGTTTGTAAATCATTGTTGTTGTTGTTGTCGGTTTGTAAATCATCGTTGTTGTTGTTGTTGTCGGTTTGTAAATCATTGTTGTTGTTGTTATCGGTTTGTAAATCATCGTTGTTGTTGTTGTGGGTTTGTAAATCATCGTTGTTGTTGTCCGTTTGTAAATCATTGTTGTTGTTGTGGGTTTGTAAATCATCGTTGTAGTTGTTGTCGGTTTGTAAATCATTGTTGTTGTTGTTGTTATTGGTTTGTAAATCATCGTTGTTGTTGTCGGTTTGTAAATCATCGTTGTTGTTGTTGTTGTCGGTTTGTAAATCATCGTTGTTGTTGTTGTGGGTTTGTAAATCATCGTTGTTGTTGTTATCGGTTTGTAAATCATCGTTGTTGTTATCGGTTTGTAAATCATCATTGTTGTTGTTATCGGTTTGTAAATAATCGTTGTTGTTGTTGTGGGTTTGTAAATCATTGTTGTTGTTGTTGTCGGTTTGTAAATGATTGTTGTTGTTGTCGTTATTGGTTTGTAAATCATCGTTGTTGTTGTTGTTATCGGTCTGTAAATCATCGTTGTTGTTATCGGTTTGTAAATGATTGTTGTTGTTGTTGTTATCGGTTTGTAAATCATCGTTGTTGTTGTTGTTATCGGTTTGTAAATCATCGTTGTTGTTGTCGTTGTTATCGGTTTGTAAATCATCGTTGTTGTTGTTGTTGTCGGTTTGTAAATCATCGTTGTTGTTGTTGTTGTTATCAGTTTGTAAATCATCGTTGTTGTTGTTATCGGTTTGTAAATCATCGTTGTTGTCGGTTTGTAAATCATCGTTGTTGTTGTTGTTATCAGTTTGTAAATCATCGTTGTTGTTGTTGTTGTTGCTGGTTTGTAAATCATCGTTGTTGTCGGTTTGTAAATCATCGTTGTTGTTGTTGTGGGTTTGTAAATCATCGTTGTTGTTGTCGTTATCGGTTTGTAAATCATCGTTGTTGTTGCTGGTTTGTAAATCATCGTTGTTGTTGTTATCGGTTTGTACATCATCATTGTTGTTGTTGTTGTCGGTTTGTAAATCATCGTTGTTGTTACCGGTTTGTAAATCATCGTTGTTGTTGTTGTCGGTTTGTAAATCATCGTTGTTGTTGTTGTCGGTTTGTAAATCATTGTTGTTGTTGTTATCGGTTTGTAAATCATCGTTGTTGTTGTTGTGGGTTTGTAAATCATCGTTGTTGTTGTTGTTGTTGTTGTCCGTTTGTAAATCATTGTTGTTGTTGTGGGTTTGTAAATCATCGTTGTAGTTGTTGTCGGTTTGTAAATCATTGTTGTTGTTGTTATTGGTTTGTAAATCATCGTTGTTGTTGTTGGTTTAAAAATCATTGTTGTTGTTGTTATCGGTTTGTAAATCATCGTTGTTGTTGTTGGTTTGTAAATCATCGTTGTTGTTGTCGGTTTGTAAATCATCGTTGTTGTTGTGGGTTTGTAAATCATCGTTGGTGTTGTTGTCGGTTTCTAAATCATTGTTGTTGTTGTTGTGGGTTTGTAAATCATCGTTGTTGTTGTCGGTTTGTAAATCATTGTTGTTGTTGTGGGTTTGTAAATCATCGTTGTTGTTGTCGGTTTGTAAATCATTGTTGTTGTTATCGGTTTGTAAATCATCGTTGTTGTTGTTGGTTTGTAAATCATCGTTGTTGTTGTTATCGGTTTGTAAATCATCTTTGTTGTTGTTGTTGGTTTGTAAATCATCGTTGTTGTTGTTGTCGGTTTGTAAATCATCATCGTTGTTGTTGTTATCGTTATCAGTTTGTAAATCATCGTTGTTGTTGTTGTCGGTTTGGAAATCATCGTTGTTGTTGTTGTTATCGTTATCGGTTTGTAAATCATCGTTGTTGTTGTTGTTGTCGGTTTGTAAATCATCGTTGTTGTTGTGGGTTTGTAAATGATTGTTGTTGTTGTCGTTATTGGTTTGTAAATCATCGTTGTTGTTGTTGTTATCGGTCTGTAAATCATCGTTGTTGTTATCGGTTTGTAAATGATTGTTGTTGTTGTTGTTATCGGTTTGTAAATCATCGTTGTTGTTGTTGTTGTTGTTATCGGTTTGTAAATCATCGTTGTTGTTGTCGTTGTTATCGGTTTGTAAATCATCGTTGTTGTTGTTGTTGTTGTCGGTTTGTAAATCATCGTTGTTGTTGTTGTTATCAGTTTGTAAATCATCGTTGTTGTTGTTGTTATCGGTTTGTAAATCATCGTTGTTGTCGGTTTGTAAATCATCGTTGTTGTTGTTATCAGTTTGTAAATCATCGTTGTTGTTGTTGTTGCTGGTTTGTAAATCATCGTTGTTGTCGGTTTGTAAATCATCGTTGTTGTTGTTGTGGGTTTGTAAATCATCGTTGTTGTTGTCGTTATCGGTTTGTAAATCATCGTTGTTGTTGCTGGTTTGTAAATCATCGTTGTTGTTGTTATCGGTTTGTACATCATCATTGTTGTTGTTGTTGTTGTCGGTTTGTAAATCATCGTTGTTGTTACCGGTTTGTAAATCATCGTTGTTGTTGTTGTCGGTTTGTAAATCATCGTTGTTGTTGTTGTCGGTTTGTAAATCATTGTTGTTGTTGTTATCGGTTTGTAAATCATCGTTGTTGTTGTTGTGGGTTTGTAAATCATCGTTGTTGTTGTTGTTGTCCGTTTGTAAATCATTGTTGTTGTGGGTTTGTAAATCATCGTTGTAGTTGTTGTCGGTTTGTAAATCATTGTTGTTGTTGTTATTGGTTTGTAAATCATCGTTGTTGTTGTTGGTTTAAAAATCATTGTTGTTGTTGTTATCGGTTTGTAAATCATCGTTGTTGTTGTTGGTTTGTAAATCATCGTTGTTGTTGTCGGTTTGTAAATCATCGTTGTTGTTGTGGGTTTGTAAATCATCGTTGGTGTTGTTGTCGGTTTCTAAATCATTGTTGTTGTTGTTGTGGGTTTGTAAATCATCGTTGTTGTTGTCGGTTTGTAAATCATTGTTGTTGTTGTGGGTTTGTAAATCATCGTTGTTGTTGTCGGTTTGTAAATCATTGTTGTTGTTATCGGTTTGTAAATCATCGTTGTTGTTGTTGGTTTGTAAATCATCGTTGTTGTTGTTATCGGTTTGTAAATCATCGTTGTTGTTGTTGTTGGTTTGTAAATCATCGTTGTTGTTGTTGTCGGTTTGTAAATCATCATCGTTGTTGTTGTTATCGTTATCAGTTTGTAAATCATCGTTGTTGTTGTTGTCGGTTTGGAAATCATCGTTGTTGTTGTTGTTATCGTTATCGGTTTGTAAATCATCGTTGTTGTTGTTGTTGTCGGTTTGTAAATCATCGTTGTTGTTGTTGTGGGTTTGTAAATCATCGTTGTTGTTGTCGGTTTGTAAATCATCGTTGTTGTTGTCGTTATCGGTTTGTAAATCATCGTTGTTGTTGTTGTGGGTTTGTAAATCATTGTTGTTGTTGTTATCGGTTTGTAAATCATCGTTGTTGTTGTCGGTTTGTAAATCATCGTTGTTGTTGTTGTTGTCGTTGTGCAGGGCTCACCGGGAGAGAGGGGAGGTGCGGGAACCGCTGGGCCCATCGGCCTCCCCGGCCGACCAGGGCCCCAGGGCCCAGCCGGCTCGGCCGGAGAGAAGGGAACTCCGGTAACGGACACACACACACACTCACTAACACACACATTCACTAACACACACATTCATACACAACACACACACACACTCACTAACACACACATTCACTGACACACACACTCACTAACACACACATTCACTAACACACACACACACTAACACACATTCACTAACACACACATTCACTAACACACACATTCACTAACACACACATTCACTAACACAGTAACACACTCACTAACACACACATTCACTAACACACACACACTCACTAACATACACTTTCACACACACATTCATACACTAACACACATTCACTAACACACACACTCACTAACACACACATTCACACACACACATTCATACACAACACACACACACTCACTAACACACATATTCACTAACACACACTCACTAACACACACATTCACTAACACAGTAACACACACTAACACACACACTCACTAACACACACATTCACTAACACACATTCATACACAACACACACATACATTCATACACTAACACACACACTCACTAACACACATTCACTAACAGACACACTAACACACACATTCACACACACACATTCATACACAACACACACACACTCACTAACACACACATTCACTAACACACATTCATACACAACACACACACACATTCACTAACACACATTCATTCACACACTAACACACACACTCACTAACACACACACTCACTCACACACATTCACACACACACATTCACTAACACACACATTCACACACACATTCACACACACTCACTAACACACACATTCACACACACACATTCATACACTAACACACACACTCACTAACACACACACTCACTAACACACACATTCACACACACATTCATACACTAACACACACTCACTAACACACACATTCACTCACACAACAACAACAACATCCGCCATTCGCCACTAAGTGGCGGTGACGTCACCACGACGCTTGTGCCAGGCTACGTGCACCCTGAGGCCACTAACACACACACTCACTCACTAACACACACATTCACACACTCACTAACACACACTCACTAACACACACACTCACTAACACACACACACTCACCAACACACACACACTCACTAACACAGTAACACACACAACAACCAACAACAACCGCCATTCGCCACTAAGTGGCGGTGACATCACCACGACGCTTGTGCCAGGCTATGTGCACCCTGAGGCCACGTGAAGTGTCGAACGCCCGCTGGCAGGATGTCACGGGGCAGACCCAGGTGCCACGGGTCGACTGACTGAGATGACTGGCTGATGCACCACCTGTGCCCCCTACTGTGCCAACCTGCTGTGCTTTAGCCACCCGGCGCTCCGCTCGTTGTTGTGAGCGTCGCTCCTCCGCCCTCCGTTGTTGTTGGAGGGCGATTACCTCCAACTGCCCAGTAGCGTCCTTCACGAGCCTCCTCCACAGAGGCCGACCTTGACACCGCTGGTACCAGTCATCGGCAAGTCCACTCAGCTCCACGTCCTCCTGTACCACGTCACTCCATCTTTTCTCTAGCCCGTGCCGCGCCCGTTTAGCCCCCTCGATCCGGCCGAACAAAAGCTGTTTCGGCATGCGGTGGCTGGGCATGCGGGCTACATGACCCAGCCATCGCAGCCTTGTCCGCCAGAGGAGCTCACCGATGGGACCTTGCCCAGATCTTTCAAGGATTTGTGAGCTCCTTACACAATCCAGTCTGGTTAAACCCAGGATGGATCGTAGGCAGGCCAGCCTAAATGTTTCTAACCGGCGAAGATGTTCCATTAGGGGGGTCCATGTTTCGCAAGCGTAGAGAAGGGAGGGAATGACCGTGGCCGAGAAGACCTGAAGCTTAGTGCGGAGCGACAGACCAGGTAGCTTCCACACAGCGTTACGCAACCGATGAAAAGATATTGCCGCTCGACTGATTCGGAGCGAGACCTCTGCTGTTAAACTGGAGCCGATCATAAGCACACTGCCCAGGTATGGGAAACTCTCCACTCTCTCCCCAAACTGCCCCATCACCAATTGGGAGTTGTGGGGGTGGAGTGTCCGATGGCACAAAATACCCAGGCAGGTGCTTAGTTTTGGTGGGGCTGATGGTAAGGCCCCATCTCTTAGTTGCACGCTCCAGTCTCAGCAGCAGCGTCTCCAACTCCTCTTCTGAATGAGCAGCTGTTACCAAATCATCGGCATACATAACGTGGTTGAGCAATAGGGAGCCATCCCTTGACTGCACCCGGGCATCGATCAGCCCTCCCATTATATCTGTATCATATGGAGATTCCCCCGGTACAGCTATTGAAGGCTTCACGAACTACGTGGTCAAAATAGATGTTAAATAATGTGGGAGCCAGAGGACATCCCTGTCGCACCCCAAGGTGTACAGGGAATGGCTCGGACTCCCGGCCACGTAGTTTTACCCGGGCCCGCTCACCATCATGAAGGTCCTTAATGATCGTGAACAGAGGGTCAGGTACTCCAAAAGCACGAAGAACAACCCAGAGCCCAGGCCTACTGATGGTATCATAGGCCTTGACCAGGTCAATAAAGCAGAGATGTAGGTCTTGCTGGAATTCCCTATACCTCTGCTGTAGCAGACGGACAGAAAATATGGCATCTGTGCAGGACCGCCCTTTCCTGAAACCGCATTGGGGCTCTGCAAGCCTCTCCTCAGCGTGCCTGGCATGGCGATGCTGAATAATCCTTGCCAGGACCTTTCCCGGCACACTGAGGAGTGAGATGCCCCTGTCGTTGTTACAGTCTGTGCGGTCCCCCTTCTTAAAGAGGGGGACCACCAGGGCATCCTAACACACACACACACTCACATACACACTGACAGACACTCACACACTAGCACACTAACACACACTCACACACGCACACACACTCACATACACACTGACAAACGCACACACACCGCACTGCCCTACGAACCCGGCGACCCGAGTTCAACTCCCGCTCACGGCCAACACCACCGGTGACGATTCTCTGAACCGGTCCCGGGACTCCCCTAGGTCGACTCGGCCTTAAATGAGTAAACCTGGTGTAGCGGTGTAGCGTAGTGAACATCGCCACTGGGGGAGACAAAGGCGGCCGGGCGTGGTTGCTGGCCACCCACCCCCTCTGTGTGTGCCACAGTGCCTGGTAGCCTTCACAGGTGGCGCTGCTGCTGCTACTCACAGCACTTGCCCCTACCAGTGTGCTGAGGCTACGCGGGGCACCTTTGCCTGTGTCTGTGTGCAGGGAGAGAAGGGGGTGCAGGGCCCTGCGGGTAGGGACGGCATCCAGGGACCCGTGGGGTTGCCTGGCCCTGCTGGGCCCCCCGGAGGACCTGGCGAGGACGGCGACAAGGTGAGGCCACCTCCTCACTCACCGCTCCTCACCGCTCCTCACCTCCTCACTCACCGCTCCTCACCGCTGTAGTCACCTCTTCACTCACCGCTCCTCACCGCTCCTCACCTCCTCACTCACCGCTCCTCACCGCTCCTCACCGCTCCTCACCTCCTCACTCACCGTTCCTCACCTCCTCACTCACTGCTCCTCACCGCTCCTCACCACTCCTCACCGCTCCTCACCACTCCTCACCGCTCGTCACCACTGTAGTCACCTCCTCACTCACCGCTCCTCACCTCCTCACTCACCACTCCTCACCGCTCCTCACCGCTCCTCACCTCCTCACTCACCGCTCCTCACCTCCTCACTCACCGCTACTCACCGCTCCTCACCGCTCCTCACCACTCCTCACCGCTCCTCACCGCTCGTCACCACTGTAGTCACCTCCTCACTCACCGCTCCTCACCTCCTCACTCACTGCTCCTCACCGCCATAGTCACCTCCTCACTCACCGCTCCTCACCGCTCCTCACCGCTCGTCACGGCTGTAGCCACCTCCTCACTCACCACTCCTCACCGCTCCTCACCGCTCCTCACCTCCTTACTCACCGCTCCTCACCGCTCCTCACTGCTGTAGTCACCTCCTCACTCACCGCTCCTCACCGCTCCTCACTCACCGCTCCTCACTGCTGTAGTCACCTCCTCACTCACCGCTCCTCACCGCTCCTCACCGCTCCTTACCGCTCCTCACCTCCTCACTCACCGCTCCTCACCGCTCCTCACTCACCGCTCCTCACTGCTGTAGTCACCTCCTCACTCACCGCTCCTCACCTCCTCACTCACCGCTCCTCACCGCTCCTCACCGCTCCTTACCGCTCCTCACCGCTCCTCACCTCGTCACTCACCGCTCCTCACCGCTCGTCACCACTGTAGTCACCTCCTCACTCACCGCTCCTTACCGCTCCTCACCTCCTCACTCACCGCTCCTCACCGCTCCTCACCGCTCCTCACCGCTCCTCACCTCCTCACTCACCGCTCCTCACCGCTCCTCACCCCCCCTCACCCTCACCGCTCTTCACTCACCGCTCCTCACCGCTGTAGCCACCTCCTCACTCACCTCCTCACTCACCTCCTCACTCACCTCCTCACTCACCGCTCCTCACCTCCTCACTCACCACTCCTCACCGCTCCTCACTCACCGCTCCTCACCGCTGTAGCCACCTCCTCACTCACCTCCTCACTCACCGCTCCTCACCGCTCCTCACCCCCCCTCACCCTCGCCGCTCCATTTCCCCACCCGCCTCACCTCCCCTCATCCACCGCTCACCACCATCACTCCCCCCCCCCCCCCCACCACCTCAGTAACTGGGCAGTGTATAGTAGTGTATAGTGTAGTGTAGTGTGTAGTGTAGTGTATAGTGTAGTATAGTGTAGTGTACAGTGTAGTGTACAGTGTAGTGTATAGTGTAGTGTAGTGTATAGTGTAGTGTATAGTGTAGTGTATAGTGTAGTGTATAGTGTAGTGTAGTGTATAGTGTAGTCTATAGTGTAGTGTATAGTGTAGTGTATAGTGTAGTGTGTAGTGTAGTGTATAGTGTAGTGTATAGTGTAGTGTATAGTGTAGTGTATAGTGTAGTGTATAGTGTAGTGTATAGTGTAGTGTATAGTGTAGTGTATAGTGTAGTGTATAGTGTAGTGTATAGTGTAGTGTATAGTGTAGTGGATAGTAGTGTATAGTGTAGTGTATAGTGTAGTGGATAGCAGTGTATAGTGTAGTGTAGTGTGTAGTGTATAGTGTAGTGTATAGTGTAGTGTATAGTGTAGTGTGTAGTGTAGTGTATAGTGTAGTGTATAGTGTAGTGGATAGTGTAGTGTATAGTGTAGTGGATAGTAGTGTATAGTGTAGTGGATAGCAGTGTATAGTGTAGTGTATAGTGTAGTGTATAGTGTAGTGGACAGTAGTGTATAGTGTAGTGTATAGTGTAGTGTATAGTAGTGTATAGTGTATCATGTAGTGTATAGTGTAGTGTGTAGTGTAGTGTGTAATTTGTAGTGTATAGCGTAGTGTATAGTAGTGTATAGTGTAGTGTATAGTAATATCGTGTGTGTATGTTGAACTTATTTCGCACCATATGTAGCCAACCGCGCTAATTGTAAGTGCGGGTGGAAGAACAACACACTAAACACACTGACAGCACTTCTAGAGAAACTTCTAGAGAAACTTCTAGAGAAACTTCTAGAGAAACTTCTAGAGAAACGTCTAGAGAAACTTCTAGAGAAACTTCCAGAGAAACTTCCAGAGAAACTTCCAGAGAAACTTCTAGAGAAACTTTTAGAGAAACTTCTAGAGAAACTTCTAGAGAAACTTCTAGAGAAACTTCTAGAGAAACTTCTAGAGGAACTTCTAGAGAAACTTCTAGAGGAACTTCTAGAGAAACTTCTAGAGGAACTTCTAGAGAAACTTCCAGAGAAACTTCTAGAGAAACTTCTAGAGAAACTTCTAGAGAAACTTCCAGATAAACTTCTAGAGAAACTTCTAGAGAAACTTCCAGAGAAACTTCTAGAGAAACTTCTAGAGAAACTTCTAGAGAAACTTCCAGATAAACTTCTAGAGAAACTTCTAGAGAAACTTCCAGAGAAACTTCCAGAGAAACTTCCAGAGAAACTTCTAGAGAAACTTCTAGAGAAACTTCTAGAGAAACTTCTAGAGAAACTTCTAGAGGAACTTCTAGAGAAACTTCTAGAGAAACTTCTAGAGAAACTTCTAGAGAAACTTCTAGAGAACTTCTAGAGAAACTTCTAGAGAAACTTCTAGAGAAACTTCTAGAAAAACTTTTAGAGAAATTTCTAGAGAAACTTCTAGAGGAACTTCTAGAGAAACTTCTAGAGAAACTTCTACAGAAACTTCTAGAGAAACTTGTAGAGAAACTTCTAGAGAAACTTCTAGAGAAACTTCTAGAGGAACTTCTAGAGAAACTTCTAGAGAAACTTCTAGAGAAACTTCCAGAGAAACTTCTAGAGAAACTTCTAGAGAAACTTCTAGAGAGAGAAACTTCTAGAGAAACTTGTAGAGGAACTTCTAGAGAAACTTCTAGAGGAACTTCTAGAGAAACTTCTAGAGGAACTTCTAGAGAAACTTCTAGAGGAACTTCTAGAGAAACTTCTAGAGAAACTTCTAGAGAAACTTCTAGAGAGACTTCTAGAGAAACTTCTAGAGAAACTTCTAGAGAAACTTCTAGAGAAACTTCTAGAAAAACTTTTAGAGAAATTTCTAGAAAAACTTCTAGAGAAACTTCTAGAGAAACTTCTAGAGAAACTTCTAGAGAAACGTCTAGAGAAACTTCTACAGAAACGAGTTTGTCAATCGAGACGTCGATGTTTTAAAAGTGGCACCACAGCTCCCAGTGACTTCCTCATATCGGAAAGCGGAAGAACATTCCAGACGGCCGCAGAAGCAGCGCAATCTGAAAGTGCCACGTGACGATGATGATGATGATGACGATGATAATGATGACGGTGATGATAACGATGATGATGACGATGATGATGATGACGACGATGATGATGATGACAATGATAATGATGACGATGATGATGATGACGGTGACGACGACGATGATGATGATGCAGTGACCACCGACTTTGTCCGACGATTTAGCCAGAAACCGCTGCTGCTACTGCTGCGAGGATGATGTCCAGAGTTGGTGTGGTGGTGGTGATGGTGATGATGATGATTTATAGGTCCTTGACGAGATCAGCAGCGAGGAGTTGCCATTGCGTGTGGCTCATTTGTGGGCAAGCCACACGCTGTGTGTGTGCGCTACCTTTATAATCACGCCAGACGGCAGCGTCTGACCGGAGTTTACGTGGCGATGATTGGTCTAGAGCAGGGGCGGGCAACCTTTTTTTCTGCCGAGGAGCCATTTGGATATTCGTGTAACGTCATTCGCGGGCCGTACAAAGTGATCACCTTAAAAATTAGCCCCTTTATATTTGGTCAAACATTTAATTAACTCGCCCCCCCCCCCCCCCCCCCCTAATGCGATGGGCTGTAACTGCTTTCTCTCTAGGCGAGGCGTGGTGATGACGTTAGCCGGCTATTGACGATGTTGCCGCTACTCGCGAGCTGCTTTTCCAGGTTTTGCTCTCCTCGACTGATTGAATTTCGAGTCCCGCCTGCGGTTGCCTTGGGCAGGGCCCAGAGACCAAATGATTTCTAGGGCCGTATAAGGCCCGCTACACAAGTGTAGTAGCTACGCCACGTGTAGTAGCTACAACACCAAATGATTTCGCGGGGGGCTCATTCGGCCCCGCGGTGCCAGGCGTTCCCCACCCCTGGTCTAGAGGTCTTTTGAGATCAGCGGCGAGGTGTTGGTATTGCGCGCGCGCGTGTGTGCGTGTGTGTGTCTGTGTGTGTGTGTGTCGTGAATATTTGGCTGCGATAAATTTCCCCGCTTGGTTGAGCGAAAAGTTGCAGATCCCCAGGGTCGCTTCGGACAAACATCTCTCTCTCTCTTATATTCTTGGTTCTTTCGGTAAAGTCACGTTGGAAGGGAAACAATGAGATAATAAAATATATATGAAACAATAAAATTCTCACGACGTTTCGACTGTAACACAAACAGCCATCGTCAGGTGTGAAGACCAACGTCAAGAACCATTGATTGTTCACGCTTACGGTGGCTTTCAGACGTCATACATTAATTTTTCGTCTGCCCCCTCCTCTTTTCCGAACATAGATGGACTCGTATTCTTAGCTCTTTCGGTAAAGTCACGTTGAAGGGAAACAATAAAATAATAAAATATATATGAAACAATAGTATATTGACGCTAAAGAGCTGCAACTACCCAACTATCATACAATAAACGGTCATCATCACACCTGATGATGACCGTTTGTGTTATGGTCGAAACGTCGTGAGAATTTTTTGTTATTGTTTTATATATATTTTATTATTTTATTGTTTCCATTCAACGTGACGACTTTACCGAAAGAGCTAAGAATATGAATGACTGCAGTCACGAAAGCTTTAAATCAAAACATAGATGGACTCGTCCTTCTAAACAAACTGCCAAATCGCTGTCCGTGGTGCTAACGTTTAAAAATAAATAAATACAAACCGCCAACTTCTTTCAAATGTTTCTTGCCGTTGGTCTTCACACCTGATGATGGCTGCTTGTGTTACGGTCGAAACGTCGTGAGAATTTTTTATTGTTTTATATTTATTTTATTATTTTATTGTTTCCCTTCAACGTGGTGACTTTACCGAAAGAGCCAAGAATATGAATCACTGCAGTCACGAAAGCTTTAAATTAAAATCTCTCTCTCTATGCATAGCGGCTCAGCGGGTGGGGGGGGGGGGGGCCTTACCTTGGTATATATTAAAGTTGTGCCGATAGTTTAGAAACGCGCGTTTAGGAGTATTTTGCTGTGCCAAATGTCCACTCGGTTCCCAGTTACATGCTAATGTCCGACTTTATCACCCTGCTAATCCAACACATTAACACGGCTACTTCAACGCTGAATTCTTCTGTTTGATATGTAAACTCTGACTTTAACATAGCTACTTCCGTGACCAGTTACATGCTGATCCCTCACACTAACATCATGCTAATCTCCCAGTTACATGCTAATGTCCGACTTTAACACCCTGCTAATCCAACACATTAACACGGCTACTTCAATGCTAAATTCTCCTGCTGATATGTAAACTCTGACTTTAACATAGCTACTTCCGTGACCAGTCACATGCTAATCCCTCACACTAACAACATACTAATCTCCCAGTTACATGCTAATGTCCGACTTTAACACCCTGCTAATCCAACACATTAACATGGCTACTTCAATGCGAAATTCTTCTGTTGATATGTAAACTCTGACTTTAACATAGCTACTTCTGTGACCAGTTACACGCTAATCCCTCACACTAACATCATGCTAATCTCCCAGTTACATGCTAATGTCCGACTTTAACACCCTGCTAATCCAACACATTAACATGGCTACTTCAATGCGAAATTCTTCTGTTGATATGTAAACTCTGACTTTAACATAGCTACTTCTGTGACCAGTTACACGCTAATCCCTCACACTAACATCATGCTAATCTCCCAGTTACATGCTAATGTCCGACTTTAACACCCTGCTAATCCAACACATTAACACGGCTACTTCAACGCTAAACTCCTCTGCTGATATGTAAACTCTGACTTTAACATAGCTACTTCCGTGACCAGTTACATGCTGATCCCTCACACTAACATCATGCTAATCTCCCAGTTACATGCGAATGTCCGACTTTAACACCCTGCTAATCCAACACATTAACACGGCTACTTCAATGCGAAATTCTCCTGTTGATGTGTAAACTCTGACTTTAACATAGCTACTTCCGTGACCAGTTACATGCTGATCCCTCACACTAACATCATGCTAATCTCCCAGTTACATGCTAATGTCTGACTTTAACACCCTGCTAATCCAACACATTAACACGGCTACTTCAATGCTAAATTCTCCTGTTGATATGTAAACTCTGACTTTAACATAGCTACTTCCGTGACCAGTTACATGCTGATCCCTCACACTAACATCATGCTAATCTCCCAGTTACATGCTAATGTCTGACTTTAACACCCTGCTAATCCAACACATTAACACGGCTACTTCAATGCGAAATTCTCCTGTTGATGTGTAAACTCTGACTTTAACATAGCTACTTCCGTGACCAGTTACATGCTAATCCCTCACACTAACATCATGCTAATCTCCCAGTTACATGCTAATGTCCGACTTTAACACCCTGCTAATCCAACACATTAACACAGCTACTTCAATGCGAAATTCTCCTGTTGATATGTAAACTCTGACTTTAACATAGCTACTTCCGTGACCAGTTACATGCTGATCCCTCACACTAACATCATGCTAATCTCCCAGTTACATGCTAATGTCTGACTTTAACACCCTGCTAATCCAACACATTAACACGGCTACTTCAATGCGAAATTCTCCTGTTGATGTGTAAACTCTGACTTTAACATAGCTACTTCCGTGACCAGTTACATGCTAATCCCTCACACTAACATCGTGCTAATCTCCCAGTTACATGCTAATGTCCGACTTTAACACCCTGCTAATCCAACACATTAACACAGCTACTTCAATGCGAAATTCTTCTGTTGATATGTAAACTCTGACTTTAACATAGCTACTTCCGTGACCAGTTACATGTTGATCCCTCACACTAACATCATGCTAATCTCCCAGTTACATGCTAATGTCCGACTTTAACACCCTGCTAATCCAACACATTAACACGGCTACTTCAATGCTAAATTCTTCTGTTGATATGTAAACTCTGACTTTAACATAGCTACTTCCGTGACCAGTTACATGCTGATCCCTCACACTAACATCATGCTAATCTCCCAGTTACATGCTAATGTCCGACTTTAACACCCTGCTAATCCAACACATTAACACGGCTACTTCAACGCTAAACTCCTCTGCTGATATGTAAACTCTGACTTTAACATAGCTACTTCCGTGACCAGTTACATGCTGATCCCTCACACTAACATCGTGCTAATCTCCCAGTTACATGCTAATGTCCGACTTTAACACCCTGCTAATCCAACACATTAACACGGCTACTTCAATGCGAAATTATTCTGTTGATATGTAAACTCTGACTTTAACATAGCTATTTCCGTGACCAGTTACACGCTGATCCCTCACACTAACATCATGCTAATCTCCCGGTTACATGCTAATGTCCGACTTTAACACCCTGCTAATCCAACACATTAACACGGCTACTTCAATGCGAAATTATTCTGTTGATATGTAAACTCTGACTTTAACATAGCTACTTCCGTGACCAGTTACATGCTGATCCCTCACACTAACATCATGCTAATCTCCCAGTTACATGCTAATGTCCGACTTTAACACCCTGCTAATCCAACACATTAACACGGCTACTTCAACGCTAAACTCCTCTGCTGATATGTAAACTCTGACTTTAACATAGCTACTTCCGTGACCAGTTACATGCTGATCCCTCACACTAACATCATGCTAATCTCCCAGTTACATGCTAATGTCCGACTTTAACACCCTGCTAATCCAACACATTAACACGGCTACTTCAACGCTAAACTCCTCTGTTGATATGTAAACTCTGACTTTAACATAGCTACTTCCGTGACCAGTCACATGCTAATCCCTCACACTAACATCGTGCTAATCTCCCGGTTACATGCTAATGTCCGACTTTAACACCCTGCTAATCCAACACATTAACACGGCTACTTCAACGCTAAACTCCTCTGCTGATATGTAAACTCCTTTGTCAAGGCGCTCTGCTCCTCCCACCCAGCTTAAAAGACGCTGCCAAGCTTAGCGGTGTTCACTGGAGCGCTGTCTTCCCGACATTTCTGTTCCTTCACCTGAAGAAGGCTGCTTGTGTTGTGGCCGAAACGTCGTGAGAATTTTATTGTATTATGTTTTATTTTTATTATTTTATTGTTTCCCTTCTACGTGGTGGTGACTTTACCGAAAGAACCAAAGGAGATGAATCCCTGCAGTCACGAAAGCTTTAAATCGAAATTTAGACGCACATTTGTCATTACGTTCACGCGAACGCGTGTGTCTGTGTGTGTGTGTCTGTGTGTGTGTGCGTCCGCGTGTGTCTGTGTGTGTGTCTGTGTGTGTGTGTCTGTGTGTGTGTGCGTCCGCGTGTGTCTGTGTGTGTGTCTGTGTGTGTGTGTCTGTGTGTGTGTCTGTGTGTGTGTGTCTGTGTGTGTATCTGTGTGTGTGTGTCTGTGTGTGTGTCTGTGTGGGTGTGTCTGTGTGTGTGTCTGTGTGTGTGTGTCTGTGTGTGTGTGTGTCTGTGTGTGTGTGCGTCCGCGTGTGTGTGTGTGTCTGTGTGTGTGTCTGTGTGTGTTTCTGTGTGTGTGTGTCTGTGTGTGTATCTGTGTGTGTGTGTCTGTGTGTGTGTCTGTGTGTGTGTGCGTCCGCGTGTGTGTGTGTGTCTGTGTGTGTGTCTGTGTGTGTGTGTGTGCGTGCGTCTGTGTGTGTATGTGCGTGCGTCTGTATGTGCGCATGTGTGTGTGCGTGTGTGTGTGTGTTCGCGTGTGTGTGTGTGTGTGTGCGTGTGTGTGTGTGCGTGTGTGTGTGTGCGTGTGTGTGTGTGCGTGTGTGTGTGTGCAGGGAGAGATTGGCAGCATGGGACACAAGGGACCTAAAGGTGACAAGGGCGAGCACGTGAGTAGATGCACGCACACACAGAGACACACACAGAGACACACACACAGAGACACACACACAGACACACACACAGAGACACACACACAGACACACACACAGACACACAGAGACACAGAGACACACACAGAGACACACACACACACAGACACACACAGAGACACACACAGAGACACACACACAGAGACACACACACAGAGACACACACACACACAGAGACACACGCACAGAGACACACGCACAGAGACATACGCACAGAGACACACACACACACACAGAGACACACGCACAGAGACACACACACACACAGACACACGCACAGAGACACACGCACAGACACACACACACAGAGACACACACAGAGACACACACATACAGAGACACACATAGACGCACACAGAGACACACACACAGAGACACACACACAGAGACACACACACACAGAGACACACACACAGAGACACACACACAGAGACACACACACAGAGACACACACACACAGAGACACACGCACAGAGACACACGCACAGACACACACACAGAGACACACACAGAGACACACACATACAGAGACACACAGAGACACACACAGAGACACACACACACAGAGACACACACACAGAGACACACACAGAGACACACACACAGAGACACACACACAGAGACACACACACAGAGACACACAGAGACACACACACAGAGACACAGAGACACACACACACAGACACACGCACAGAGACACACACACAGAGACACACACACACAGAGACACACACACAGAGACACAGAGACACACAGAGACACACACACAGAGACACACAGAGACACACAGAGACACACACACAGAGACACACACACAGAGACACACACACACAGAGACACACACACACAGAGACACACACACAGAGACACACACACAGAGACACACGCACAGAGACACACGCACAGAGACACACACACAGAGACACGCACAGAGACACACACACACAGACACACACACAGAGACACACACACACAGACACACACACACACAGAGACACACACAGAGACACACACACACACAGAGACACACACACAGAGACACACACAGAGACACACACACAGAGACACACACACAGAGACACACACACAGAGACACACAGAGACACACACACAGAGACACAGAGACACAACAACAACAACAACAACAACCGCCATTCGCCACTAAGTGGCGGTGACGTCACCACGACGCTTGTGCCAGGCTATGTGCACCCTGAGGCCACGTGAAGTGTCGAACGCCCGCTGGCAGGAGGTCACGGGGCAGACCCAGGTGCCACGGGTCGACTGACTGAGATGACTGGCTGATGCACCACCTGTGCCCCCTACTGTGCCAACCTGCTGTGCTTTAGCCACCCGGCGCTCCGCTCGCTGTTGTGAGCGTCGCTCCTCCGCCCTCCGTTGTTGTTGGAGGGCGACTGCCTCCAACTGCCCAGTAGCATCCTTCACGAGCCTCCTCCACAGAGGCCGATCTTGACACCGCTGGTACCAGTCATCGGCAAGTCCACTCAGCTCCACGTCCTCCTGTACCACATCACTCCATCTCTTCTCTAGCCCGTGCCGCGCCCGCTTAGCCCCCTCAATCCGGCCAAACAAAAGCTGTTTCGGCATGCGGTGGCTGGGCATGCGGGCTACATGACCCAGCCATCGCAGCCTTGCCTGCCGGAGGAGCTCACCGATGGGACCCTGCCCAGATCTTTCAAGGATTTGTGAGCTCCTCACACAATCCAGTCTGGTTAAACCCAGGATGGATCGTAGGCAGGCCAGCCTAAATGTTTCTAACCGGCGAAGATGTTCCATTCGGGGGGTCCACGTTTCGCAAGCATAGAGAAGGGAGGGAATGACCGTGGCCGAGAAGACCTGAAGCTTAGTGCGGAGCGACAGACCAGGTAGCTTCCACACAGCGTTACGCAACCGATGAAAAGATATTGCCGCTCGACTGATTCGGAGTGAGACCTCTGCTGTTAAACTGGAGCCAGTCATAAGCACACTGCCCAGGTATGGGAAACTCTCCACTCTCTCCACAACTGCCCCATCACCGATTGGGAGTTGTGGTGGTGGAGTGTCCGATGGTACAAAATACCCAGGCAGGTGCTTAGTTTTGGTGGGGCTGATGGTAAGGCCCCACCTCTTAGTGGCATGCTCCAGTCTCAGCAGCAGCGTCTCCAACTCCTCCTCTGACTGAGCAGCTATTACCAAGTCATCAGCATACATAACGTGGTTGAGCAATAGGGAGCCATCCCTTGACCGCACCCGGGCATCGATTAGCCTCCCATTATATCTGTACCATATGGAGATTCCCCCGGTACAGCTATTGAAGGCTTCACGAACTACGTGGTCAAAATAGATGTTAAATAATGTGGGAGCCAAAGGACATCCCTGTCGCACCCCAAGGTGTACAGGGAATGGCTCTGACTCCCGGCCACGTAGTTTTACCCGGGCCCGCTCACCATCATGAAGGTCCTTAATGATCGTGAGCAGAGGGTCAGGTACTCCAAAAGCACGAAGAACGACCCAGAGCCCAGGCCTACTGATGGTATCATAGGCCTTGACCAGGTCAATAAAGCAGAGATGTAGGTCTTGTTGGAATTCCCTACACCTCTGCTGTAGCAGACGGACAGAAAATATGGCATCTGTGCAGGACCGCCCTTTCCTGAAACCGCATTGGGGCTCCGCAAGCCTCTCCTCAGCGTGCCTGGCAAGGCGATGCTGAATAATCCTTGCCAGGACCTTTCCCGGCACACTGAGGAGTGAGATGCCCCTGTAGTTGTTACAGTCTGTGCGGTCCCCCTTCTTAAAAAGGGGGACCACCAGGGCATCCTTCCAATCCTGCGGAACCCGTCCAGTGGTCCAGACTGTTGTTATGATGTCATATAGGGCAGTCTGTGCACAAACGCCACCCTCCCTCAGCATTTCGCTTGGGAGATCATCTCTGCCCGCTGCCTTTCCTGGTCTCAGACTCCGGATCGCCTTCAATACTTCCTCAGCAGATGGCACCTCAGCCAGCCACTCACAGGGGGTGACTTCATCCAATATTTGAGGCACCGCAGCCTCAGCAGGGTCATCCTCACTTTGTGCCGCGATGTTTTCCTGGCTGAGGGATTTTCCCTCCCCCAGGACCTCACAGAAATGCTCAGCAAATCTGCGAACCTGTTCCTGGGGGTCAGAAATTGGATCACCGTTTTTTCCCCTAATGATGGTAATAGGTGTGGCGCTGCAGGTTACTTTTTTGATGGAGTTAAATAGAGATTTGTGATCACGGGTCACTGAGGCAGACTCCATCTCCTCAGCAACCCGCGACCACCACCCATCCTTGCAGCGCCTCACGGCTCTCCGAACCTCCGAGCGAAGGCTGCGGTAAGCCTCCTCATTCTCTGACGTGGGATTCTGTAGCCGATGACAGTGGGCCTGTCGCTTTTTCTCAACCATCGTGAACAACTCCTCTGTCATCCAGGGTGTCTGGGGAGGTCTGGACCGCGTACCCAAAGCAGCCATTGCAGCTGCATGAGTCACAGTCCTAAACCTCGCCCATTTACCCTCGACATCAGGAGGAGTCGGGGACGATGCCAATCCCAGCCGCAAGCGATGATGAAATTCTCGCTTGCAACTTTCATCAGATAACTGAGACCAGGCCACTTTAGGTTGGAATGGGGTCCTGGGTGTACACCCACCACCGGAGTGGAAGAATGGCAGGCGCATCTTACAGATGACTAGTCGATGGTCAGAGGGCAGATCAGCTCCACGGTAGGTCCTGGTGTCAAGGACATGGGCTCGCATTCGCTGGTCCGTCACTATGTAGTCCAGCAGATGTTCTTGCTTGGACCCGGCATGCATCCATGATGTTGTGTGGATGCGCCGATGCCGGAACAGCGTGTTGGTAATTACAAGCCCATGGGCTGCACAAAAATCTAGCAGCCTCCTACCGTTGTTATTGAGCTGATCTGGCCCATGCCCTCCAGAGACACACACACACAGACACACGCACAGAGACACACACACAGAGACACACACACACAGAGACACACACACAGAGACACAGAGACACACAGAGACACACACACAGAGACACACAGAGACACACAGAGACACACACACAGAGACACACACACAGAGACACACACACACAGAGACACACACACACAGAGACACACACACAGAGACACACACACAGAGACACACACACAGAGACACACACACAGAGACACACACAGAGACACACATACAGAGACACGCACAGAGACACACACACAGAGACACGCACAGAGACACACACACAGAGACACACACACAGAGAAACACACACACAGACACACACACACAGAGACACACACACGCACAGAGACACACGCACAGAGACACACGCACAGACACACACACACAGAGACACACACAGCGACACACACATACAGAGACACACACACACACACAGAGACACACACAGAGACACACACACACAAACACACACAGAGACACACACACAGACACACACACACAGAGACACACCCACACAGAGACACACACACAGAGACACACGCACAGAGACACACACACACAGTGAGACACACATAGACACATACACAGACACACACAGAAACACACACACAGAGACACACACACACGCACACACGTACACACACTGACACACTTGTACACACGCACCTACACGGAGACACAACCCAGCGCGTAAGGCAGGTCGTTACCCACAATTCCTTCTCATCGGTGCCGTGTTTGCCAATCCGTGTGTGGCCTCTCTTTCTCTCTCCCTCCCCGCCACGTGTCCGCAGGGCCCGCCGGGACCTCCTGGGCCACAGGGCCCCATCGGACAGCCCGGCCCGGCCGTGAGTAACCGCTACACGACCGCGACACGGCAAAGCGTAGCCTCAACACGGCACGCGTGTCCATCGCGTGTCTCCGCGTGTCCCCGCGGTGTGTCCCCGCGCATATCCCCGCGTGTGTCCCCCCTCTGTCCCCAGGGAGCTGATGGGGAGCCAGGCCCCAGAGGGATTCAGGGTCCGTTTGGAGCCAAGGGGGATGAGGGACCCAGAGGGTTCCCCGGGTCACCGGGACCCGTGGGCCTGCAGGTACCCGCAAGTCGCCCGTTTAGTCGCTCGTATCACTCAAGTCACCCGTTCATTCGCTCAGATCGCTCAAATCGCTCGAGCCTCGCACGCTCGCTCCATCGACCGCTCGCCCTGCTCGCTCGCTGCCTTAGTCATGTGATCGCCCGCCCACCCACTCGCTCACTCGGTTACTCGCCAACTCTTTCACTCGCTCGCCTACTCACTCAACTACCCGCTTAGTGACTCACTCACTCACTCACCTACTCTTTCACTCGCTCGCCTACTCACTCAACTACCCACTTAGTGACTCACTCACTCACTCACCTACTCACTCACCTACTCATTCACTCACTCGCCTACTCACTCAACTACTCACTTAGTGACTCAATCACTCACTCAGTTACTCACCAACTCTTTCACTCACTCGCCTACTCACTCAACTACTCACTTAGTGACTCACTCACTCGGTTACTCACCAACTCATTCACTCACTCACCTACTCATTCACTCACTCGCCTACTCACTCAACTACTCACTTAGTGACTCAATCACTCACTCGGTTACTCACCAACTCTTTCACTCACTCGCCTACTCACTCAACTACTCACTTAGTGACTCACTCACTCGCTCACCTACTCATTCACTCACTCCCCTACTCACTCAACTACTCACTTAGTGACTCACCAACTCATTCACTCACTCGTTTAGTCGCTCGTCTCACTCAAGTCACCCGTTCATTCGCTCAGATCGCTCAAATCGCTCAAGCCTCATTGCTCGCACGCTCGCTCCATCGACCGCTCGCCTGCTCGCTCGCTGTGTGTGCGTGGTGTCTATGCGCGCGTACACGTGTGTGTGTGTGTCTGTGCGTGTGTGTGCATACACGTGTGTGTGTGTGTGCGTACACGTGTGTGTGTGTGTGTGTACACGTGTGTACACGTGTGTGTGTGTGTCTGTGTGTAGGGACTTCCCGGGCCAACTGGAGAGAAGGGAGAGAACGGTGACGTTGGTCCCATGGTGAGCGGTCACCCTCCCTCTGCACTCGCACACAACATGACGTAACATGACGTAACATGACGCAACATGACGCAACATGGCACAAAATGACGCAACATGACGCAACATGGCACAAAATGACGCAACATGACGCAACATGACGCAACATGACGCAACATGATGCAACATGGCACAAAATGACGTAACATGACGCAACATGATGCAACATGGCACAAAATGATGCAACATGATGCAACATGGCACAAAATGACGCAACATGATGCAACATGGCACAAAATGACGCAACATGACGCAACATGATGCAACATGGCACAAAATGACGCAACATGATGTAACATGACGCAACATGATGCAACATGGCACAAAATGACGCAACATGACGCAACATGATGCAACATGGCATAAAATGATGCAACATGATGCAACATGATGCAACATGATGCAACATGACGCAACATGACACAACATGATGCAACATGGCACAAAATGACGCAACATGACGCAACATGATGCAACATGATGCAACATGGCACAAAATAACGCAACATGACGCAACATGACGCAACATGGCACAAAATGATGCAACATGACGCAACATGGCACAAAATGACGCAACATGACGCAACATGACGCAACATGATGCAACATGGCACAAAATGACGCAACATGACGCAACATGACGCAACATGATGCAACATGGCACAACATGACGCAACATGACGCAACATGACGCAACATGACGCATAATGATGCAACATGACGCAACATGACGCAACATGACGCAACATGACGCAACATGACGCAACATGGCACAAAATGACGCAACATGACGCAACATGACGCAACATGATGCAACATGGCACAAAATGACGCAACATGACGCAACATGACGCAACATGACGCAACATGACGCATAATGATGCAACATGACGCAACATGACGCAACATGACGCAACATGACGCAACATGGCACAAAATGACGCAACATGACGCAACATGACGCAACATGACGCAACATGGCACAAAATGACGCAACATGACGTAACATGACGCAACATGACGCAACATGATGCAACATGGCACAAAATGACGCAACATGACGCATAATGATGCAACATGACGCATAATGACGCAACATGACACAACGTGACGTCCCTTGTCTCGTGACACAAAGGCAAAAACTCACCACTGGGTGATGCACACAGTGGGGGGGGGGGAGGAGCTTGATGTCCTCCAGCAGCCCCCGCCCACTTTCATCTGACCACGCCCACTCCACAACTGGCCCACTGCCCAGGTAGCCCCGCCCACTGCCCAGGTAGCCCCGCCCACTGCCCAGGTAGCCCCCGCCCATTGCTCGGGGTAGCCCACGCCCACTGCCCAGGTAGCCCACGCCCATTGCTCGGGTAGCCCACGCCCACTGCCCAGGTAGCCCACGCCCATTGCTGGGGTAGCCCCCGCCCATTGCCCAGGTAGCCCCCGCCCATTGCTCGGGTAGCCCCCGCCCACTGCCCAGGTAGCCCCCGCCCATTGCTCGGGTAGCCCACGCCCACTGCCTAGGTAGCCCCCGCCCATTGCTGGGGTAGCTCCGCCCACTGCTCGGCTAGCTCCGCCCACTGTTCAGGTAACTCCGCCCTGTGTCCACGCATTTCAGACTGGAGACAAAATACTGGATGGGGTCTCTCTCATCACCATCACGGTGGCTATGAGATGTTAACTACCTCGCCTGGTCTACAGGAGGTCGTGGGTTCGATCCCGACCCTGACGATGCCTGCTGCTACTGTAGATTTGGAGTCTGCGTGTCTCTCTCTCATCATCATCATCATCATCACGGTGGCTATGAGATGTTAACTACCTCGCCAGGTCTACAGGAGGTCTGTGTCTCTCTCTCATCATCATCATCACGGTGGCTATGAGATGTTAACTACCTCGCCTGGTATACAGGAGGTCTGTGTCTCTCTCATCATCATCATCACGGTGGCTATGAGATGTTAACTACCTCGCCTGGTCTACAGGAGGTCTGTGTCTCTCTAATCATCATCATCACGGTGGCTATGAGGTGTTAACTACCTCGCCTGGTCTACAGGAGGTCTGTGTCTCTCTGTCATCATCATCATCATCACGGTGGCTATGAGATGTTGACTCCCTCGCCTGGCCTACAGGAGGTCTGTGTCTCTCTCTAATCATCATCATCACGGTGGCTATGAGATGTTGACTCCCTCGCCTGGCCTACAGGAGGTCTGTGTCTCTCTCTCATCATCATCACTGTGGCTATGAGATGTTGACTACCTCGGCAGGTCTACAGGAGGTCTGTGTCTCTCTGTCATCATCATCATCACTGTGGCTATGAGATGTTGACTACCTCGCCTGGTCTACAGGAGGTCTGTGTCTCTCTCATCATCATCATCATCATCACGGTGGCTATGAGATGTTGACTACCTCGCCTGGTCTGCAGGATGTCGTGGGCTGCTGCTGTGTGTTTGGTGTTTTCCCTCCGCGTTGAGAGTCGTCGTGCTGGCGGTCTGCTAAAGGCTACACGGGGTGGGGAGGATCTTTGTCTTTGTATTTATACACGTGTGTGTGTGTGTGTGTCTGTGTGTGTGTGTCTGTGTGTGTGTCTGTGTGTGTGTCTGTGTATGTGTCTGTGTGTGTGTCTGTGTGTGTGTCTGTGTGTGTGTGTGTGTGTCTGTGTGTCTGTGTGTGTGTCTGTGTGTGTGTGTGTGTGTCTGTGTGTGTCTGTGTGTGTGTGTGTTTCTGTGTCTGTGTGTGTGTACAGGGTCCCCCCGGCCCCCCTGGGCCACGTGGACCCCAGGGAGCGTCAGGAGCCGACGTGAGTCTCAACGCTGCACACCGCCCACGGCCAACACCGCCAGTGATAGCGATTGTCTGAACCGATCCTAGACACCCCCTCCTAGGTCGACTCAGCCTCAAATGAGTACCCGGTGCGGTGCGTAGTGAACATCGCCAGCACTGGGGGAGACAAAGGCGGCCGGGCGTGGTTGCTGGCCACCCACCCCCTCGTGTGCCACAGTGCCGGTAGCCTTCACAGGCGCTGCTGCTGCTGCTACTCGCTAACAGCACTTGCCCCAATAGTATGTCAAGGCTACACGGGGGATCTTTGCCTTTGTATATGCATGTGTGTGTCTGTGTCTGTGTCTAACAGGGCAGGCATGGACCCCCAGGACCACTCGGACAGCCTGGAACTCCTGGAGATAAGGTAAAGTCAAAAGCTCCACCATCACTACTATCACCATCTCCATCATCACTACCACCATCATCACTACCACTATCACCACTACCACCATCATCATCACCACCACCACCACCACTATCACCACTACCACCATCATCATCACCACCACCACCACCACCACTATCACCACTACCACCATCTCCATCATCACCACCACCACTATCACCACTACCACCATCACCACTATCACCATCATCACCACCACCACTATCACCACTACCACCATCACCACTATCACCATCACCACTATCACCATCTCCACCACTATCACCACCATTATCACCATCACCACCATTATCACCATCACCAGTATCACCATCACCATCATCACCATCACCACTATCACCACTACCACCATCACCACTATCACCACCACCACTATCACCACTACCACCATCACCACCATCATCACCATCACCACCATCATCATCACCATCATCACCACCACCACTATCACCACTACCACCATCACCACCATCATCACCATCATCACCACCACCACTATCACCACTACCACCATCACCACCATCATCACCATCATCACCACCACCACCATCACCACTATCACCATCATCACCACCACCACTATCACCATCACCATCATCACCATCACCACTATCACCATCATCACCACCACCACTATCACCATCACCATCATCACCATCACCACCATCACCATTATCACCATCACCATCATCACCATCACCACTATCACCATCACCATCATCACCACTATCACCATCACCATCATCACCACTATCACCACTACCACCATGACCACTATCACCATCTCCATCATCACCACCACCACTATCACCACTACCACCATCACCACCATCATCACCATCATCACCACCACCACTATCACCACTACCACCATCACCACCATCATCACCATCACCACCATCACCACTATCACCATCACCATCATCACCACCACCACCACTATCACCACTACCACCATCACCACCATCACCATCATCACCACCACCACTATCACCACTATCACCATCTCCACCACTATCACCACCATTATCACCATCATCACCACCACCATTTACCACTACCACCATCACAACCACTACCACCACTACCACCATCACCACTACCACCATCACCACCATCACCATCATCACCACCACCACCACTATCACCACTACCACCATCACCACCATCATCACCATCATCACCACCACCACTATCACCAGTATCACCATCTCCACCACTATCACCATCACCATTACCACTACCACCATCACCACCATCACCACTACCATCATCACCACTATCACCAGTATCACCACCACCACTATCACTATCACCACTAACACCATCATCACCATCTCCACCACTATCATCACCACTATCACCACTATCACCACCACCATCACCACTATCAACAGTATCACCATCACTACTATCACCATCACCACTATCACCACTACCACCATCACCATCACCACCACTACCACCATCACCACTACCATCATCACCACTATCACCAGTATCACCACCACCACTATCACCATCACCACTATCACCACTACCACCATCACCACCATCTCCACCACTACCATCACCACCATCACTACTATCAGCAGTATCACCATCACTACTATCACCACTGTCACCACCACTATTACCAGTGTCACCATCACCACTATCACCTCTATCACCACCACCATCACCACCACTACCACCATCACCACTATCACCACCACCATCACCACTATCACTACCACCATCACCACCACCATCAACACTATCAACAGTATCACCATCACCACTATCATCTCTGTCACCACCATCACCACTATCACCACCACCATCACCACTACAACCACCATCACTACTACCACCATCACTACCATCATCACCACTATCACCACCGCCATCACCACTGCCACTAACACAGTCACCACTATCACCACCACCATCACCACTATTACCATCACCATTACCACCACTTTCAACACCACCACTTTCAACACCACCATTACCACCACCACTACCACCACATCCACGCATGACCGTGTGTGACTGTGTGTGTCGTGCGTGTTGTGTGTGTTGTGCGTGTTGTGTGTGTTGTGTGTGTCGTGTGTGTTGTGTGTGTTGTGTGTGTTGTGTGTGACTGTGCGTGGTGTGTGTGTTGTGTGTGTCGTGTGTGTTGTGCGTGTTGTGTGTGTTGTGTGTGTTGTGTGTGTCGTGTGTGTTGTGTGTGTGTTGTGTGTGTTGTGTGTGTTGTGTGTGTTGTGTGTGACTGTGTGTGTTGTGTGTGACTGTGTGTGTCGTGTGTGTTGTGTGTGTTGTGTGTGTTGTGTGTGACTGTGTGTGTCGTCCGTGTCGTGTGTGTTGTGTGTGTTGTGTGTGACTGTGTGTGTCGTGTGTGTTGTGTGTGTTGTGCGTGTTGTGTGTGTTGTGTGTCTTGTGTGTGACTGTGTGTGTCGTGTGTGTTGTGTGTGTTGTGTGTGTTGTGTGTGACTGTGTGTGTTGTGTGTCTTGTGTGTGACTGTGTGTGTTGTGTGTGTTGTGTGTGACTGTGCGTGTTGTGTGTGTTGTGTGTGTCGTGTGTGTCGTGTGTGTTGTGTGTGTCGTGTGTGTTGTGTGTGTTGTGTGTGTTGTGTGTGTTGTGTGTGACTGTGCGTGTTGTGCGTGTTGTGTGTGTTGTGTGTCTTGTGTGTGACTGTGTGTGTTGTGTGTGTTGTGTGTGACTGTGTGTGTTGTGTGTGTTGTGTGTGTTGTGTGTGTGTTGTGTGTGTTGTGACTGTGTGTGTTGTGTGTGTCGTGTGTGTTGTGTGTGTCGTGTGTGTTGTGCGTGTCGTGTGTGTTGTGTGTGTTGTGTGTGACTGTGTGTGTTGTGTGTGTCGTGTGTGTTGTGTGTGTTGTGTGTGACTGTGTGTGTTGTGCGTGTTGTGTGTGTTGTGTGTGACTGTGTGTGTTGTGTGTGACTGTGTGTGTTGTGTGTGTTGTGTGTGTTGTGCGTGTTGTGTGTGTTGTGTGTTTCGTGTGTGTTGTGTGTGTTGTGTGTGTTGTGTGTGACTGTGTGTGTTGTGTGTGTTGTGTGTGTTGTGTGTGTTGTGTGTGACTGTGTGTGTTGTGTGTGACTGTGTGTGTTGTGTGTGTCGTGTGTGTTGTGTGTGACTGTGTGTGTTGTGTGTGACTGTGTGTGTTGTGTGTTGTGTGTGACTGTGTGTGACTGTGCGTGTCGTGTGTTGTGTGTGTTGTGTGTGTTGTGTGTGACCGTGCGTGTCGTGTGTGTTGTGTATGTTGTGTGTGACTGTGTGACTGTGTGTGTTGTGTGTGACTGTGTGTGTTGTGTGTGACTGTGTGTGTTGTGTGTGTTGTGTGTGTCGTGTGTGTTGTGTATGTTGTGTGTGACTGTGTGACTGTGTGTGTTGTGTGTGACTGTGTGTGTTGTGTGTGACTGTGTGTGTTGTGTGTGACTGTGTGTGACTGTGTGTGTTGTGGGTGTTGTGTGTGACTGTGTGTGACTGTGTGTGTTGTGTGTGTTGTGTGTGACTGTGTGTGTTGTGTGTGACTGTGTGTGTTGTGTGTGACTGTGTGTGTTGTGTGTTGTGTGACTGTGTGTGTTGTGTGTGTGACTGTGTGTGACTGTGTGTGTTGTGTGTGTTGTGTGTGACTGTGCGTGTTGTGTGTGTTGTGTGTGTCGTGTGTGTCGTGTGTGTTGTGTGTGTCGTGCGTGTTGTGTGTGTTGTGTGTGTCGTGTGTGTCGTGTGTGACTGTGCGTGTTGTGCGTGTTGTGTGTGTTGTGTGTCTTGTGTGTGACTGTGTGTGTTGTGTGTGACTGTGTGTGTTGTGTGTGTTGTGTGTGTTGTGTGTGTGTTGTGTGTGTTGTGACTGTGTGTGTTGTGTGTGTCGTGTGTGTTGTGCGTGTCGTGTGTGTTGTGTGTGTTGTGTGTGACTGTGTGTGTTGTGTGTGTCGTGTGTGTTGTGTGTGTTGTGTGTAACTGTGTGTGTTGTGCGTGTTGTGTGTGTTGTGTGTGACTGTGTGTGTTGTGTGTGACTGTGTGTGTTGTGTGTGTTGTGTGTGTTGTGCGTGTTGTGTGTGTTGTGTGTTTCGTGTGTGTTGTGTGTGTTGTGTGTGTTGTGTGTGACTGTGTGTGTTGTGTGTGTTGTGTGTGTTGTGTGTGACTGTGTGTGACTGTGTGTGTTGTGTGTGTTGTGTGTGTCGTGTGTGTCGTGTGTGTCGTGTGTGTTGTGTGTGTCGTGTGTGTTGTGTGTGACTGTGTGTGTTGTGTGTGACTGTGTGTGTTGTGTGTGACTGTGTGTGTTGTGTGTGACTGTGTGTGACTGTGCGTGTCGTGTGTTGTGTGTGTTGTGTGTGACCGTGCGTGTTGTGTGTGTTGTGTGTGACTGTGTGTGTCGTGTGTTGTGTGTGTTGTGTGTGACTGTGTATGTGTTGTGTGTGACTGTGTGTGTCGTGTGTGTTGTGTGTGTTGTGTGTGTGACCGTGTGTGTTGTGTGTGTCGTGTGTGTGACTGTGTGTGACTGTGTGTGTTGTGTGTGTTGTGTGTGACTGTGTGTGACTGTGTGTGTTGTGTGTGTCGTGTGTGTTGTGTATGTTGTGTGTGACTGTGTGACTGTGTGACTGTGTGTGTTGTGTGTGACTGTGTGTGTTGTGTGTGACTGTGTGTGTTGTGTGTGTTGTGTGTGTCGTGTGTGTTGTGTATGTTGTGTGTGACTGTGTGACTGTGTGTGTTGTGTGTGACTGTGTGTGTTGTGTGTGACTGTGTGTGTTGTGTGTGACTGTGTGTGACTGTGTGTGTTGTGGGTGTTGTGTGTGACTGTGTGTGACTGTGTGTGTTGTGTGTGTTGTGTGTGACTGTGTGTGTTGTGTGTGACTGTGTGTGTTGTGTGTGGTGTGTGTTGTGTGACTGTGTGTGTTGTGTGTGTGACTGTGTGTGACTGTGTGTTGTGTGTGTTGTGACTGTGTGTGTGACTGTGTGTGTTGTGTGTGACTGTGTGTTGTGTGTGTTGTGTGTGTGTTGTGTGTGTGTGACTGTGTGTGTTGTGTGTGTTGTGTGTGACTGTGTGTGTTGTGTGTGTTGTGTGTGTTGTCTGTGACTGTGTGTGACTGTGTGTGTTGTGTGTGTTGTGTGTGACTGTGTGTGACTGTGTGTGTTGTGTGTGTTGTGTGTGACTGTGTGTGTTGTGTGTGACTGTGTGTGTTGTGTGTGACTGTGTGTGACTGTGTGTTGTGTGTGACTGTGTGTTGTGTGTGACTGTGTGTGACTGTGTGTGTTGTGGGTGTTGTGTGTGACTGTGTGTGACTGTGTGTGTTGTGTGTGTTGTGTGTGACTGTGTGTGTTGTGTGTGACTGTGTGTGTTGTGTGTGACTGTGTGTGTTGTGTGTGGTGTGTGTTGTGTGACTGTGTGTGTTGTGTGTGTGACTGTGTGTGACTGTGTGTGACTGTGTGTTGTGTGTGTGTTGTGTGTGTTGTGACTGTGTGTGTGACTGTGTGTGTTGTGTGTGACTGTGTGTTGTGTGTGTTGTGTGTGTGTTGTGTGTGTGACTGTGTGTGTTGTGTGTGTTGTGTGTGACTGTGTGTGTTGTGTGTGTTGTGTGTGTTGTCTGTGACTGTGTGTGACTGTGTGTGTTGTGTGTGACTGTGTGTGACTGTGTGTGTTGTGTGTGTTGTGTGTGACTGTGTGTGTTGTGTGTGACTGTGTGTGTTGTGTGTGACTGTGTGTGACTGTGTGTTGTGTGTGACTGTGTGTGTTGTGTGTGACTGTGTGTTGTGTGTGTTGTGTGTGTTGTGTGTGACTGTGTGTGTTGTGTGTGTTGTGTGTGTTGTGTGTGACTGTGTGTGACTGTGTGTGTTGTGTGTGTTGTGTGTGACTGTGTGTGTTGTGTGTGTCGTGTGTGTCGTGTGTGTGACTGTGTGTGTTGTGTGTGACTGTGTGTGTTGTGTGTGTTGTGTGTGTTGTGTGTGACTGTGTGTGACTGTGTGTGTTGTGTGTGTTGTGTGTGACTGTGTGTGTTGTGTGTGTTGTGTGTGACTGTGTGTGACTGTGTGTGTTGTGTGTGTTGTGTGTGTTGTGTGTGACTGTGTGTGACTGTGTGTGTTGTGTGTGTTGTGTGTGACTGTGTGTGTTGTGTGTGACTGTGTGTGACTGTGTGTGTTGTGTGTGTTGTGTGTGACTGTGTGTGACTGTGTGTGTTGTGTGTGTCGTGTGTGACTGTGTGTGTTGTGTGTGACTGTGTGTGACTGTGTGTGTTGTGTGTGAATGTGTGTGTTGTGTGTGTCGTGTGTGTTGTGTGTGACTGTGTGTGACTGTGTGTGTTGTGTGTGACAGGGCGAGCCAGGAGAGGGTGGCCAGGCTGGGCTGTCTGGAGGCCGGGGAGTGAAGGTGAGTTCCCGTGGGGGGCCCTGCAGGAGTTCCTGTGGGGGGCCCTGCAAGAGTTCCCGTGGGGGGCCCTACAGGTGGAGGGATAAGGTCGTGGATTAAACACCGACCCTGATGCCTGCTGTAGATTTGGAGTCTGTGTGTCTCTGTCTCTCATCATCATCAATGTGGCTATGAGATGTTGACTCCCTCGCCTCGTATACAGGAGGTCTGTGTCTCTCTCATCATCATCTCGGTGGCTATGAGATGTTCACTACCTCGCCTGGTATACAGGAGGTCTGTGTCTCTCTCATCATCAGCTCGGTGGTTATGAGATGTTCACTACCTCGCGTGGTATACAGGAGGTCTGTGTCTCTCTCTCATCATCATCACAGTGACTGAGATGTTAACTACCTCGCCTGGTATACAGGAGGTCTGTGTCTCTCTCTCATCATCATCATCACGGTGGCTATGAGATGTTGACTACCTCGCCTGGTACACAGGAGGTCTGTGTCTTTCTCTCTCATCATCATCACGGTGGCTATGAGATGTTCACTACCTCGCCTGGTCTACAGGAGGTCTGTGTCTCTCATCATCATCACGGTGGCTATGAGATGTTGACTACCTCGCCTGGTATACAGGAGGTCTGTGTCTCTCTCATCATCATCATCACGGTGGCTATGAGATGTTGACTACCTCGCCTGGTCTACAGGAGGTCTGTGTCTGTCTCATCATCATCATCATCACGGTGGCTAGGAGATGTTGACTTCCTCTGCCGGTATACAGGAGGTCTGTGTCTCTGTCTCTCATCATCATCATCACTGTGGCTATGAGATGTTGACTACCTCGCCTGGTACACAGGAGGTCTGTGTCTCATCATCACGGTGGCTAGGAGATGTTGACTACCTCGCCTGGTATACAGGAGGTCTGTGTCTCTCTCTCTCATCATCATCACGGTGGCTAGGAGATGTTGACTACCTCGCCTGGTATACCGGAGGTCTGTGTCTCTCATCATCATCATCACGGTGGCTATGAGATGTTGACTACCTCGCCTGGTACACAGGAGGTCTGTGTCTTTCTCTCTCATCATCATCACGGTGGCTATGAGATGTTCACTACCTCGCCTGGTCTACAGGAGGTCTGTGTCTCTCATCATCATCACGGTGGCTATGAGATGTTGACTACCTCGCCTGGTATACAGGAGGTCTGTGTCTCTCTCATCATCATCATCACGGTGGCTATGAGATGTTGACTACCTCGCCTGGTCTACAGGAGGTCTGTGTCTGTCTCATCATCATCATCATCACGGTGGCTAGGAGATGTTGACTTCCTCTGCCGGTATACAGGAGGTCTGTGTCTCTCTCTCTCATCATCATCATCACTGTGGCTATGAGATGTTGACTACCTCGCCTGGTACACAGGAGGTCTGTGTCTCATCATCACGGTGGCTAGGAGATGTTGACTACCTCGCCTGGTATACAGGAGGTCTGTGTCTCTCTCTCTCATCATCATCACGGTGGCTAGGAGATGTTGACTACCTCGCCTGGTATACCGGAGGTCTGTGTCTCTCATCATCATCATCACGGTGGCTATGAGATGTTGACTACCTCGCCTGGTACACAGGAGGTCTGTGTCTCTCTCTCATCATCATCACTGTGGCTATGAGATGTTGACTACCTCGCCCGGTATACAGGAGGTCTGTGTCTCTCTCTCATCATCATCATCACCGTGGCTATGAGATGTTGACTACCTCGCTTGGTGTACAGGAGGTCGTGGTGTGTCTCTCTCTCTCATCATCATCATCACATTAGCTATGAGATGTTAACTACCTCGCCAGGTGTACAGGAGGTCTGTGTCTCTCTCATCATCATCATCACGGTGGCTATGAGATGTTCACTACCTCACCAGCATACAGGAGGTCTGTGTCTCTTTCATCATCATCAAGGTGGCTATGAGATGTTGACTACCTCACCTGGTATACATGAGGTCTGTGTCTCTCTCTCTCATCATCATCACGGTGGCTAAGAGATGTTGACTACCTCGCCTGGTATACAGGAGGTCTGTGTCTGTCTCATCATCATCATCATCACGGTGGCTAGGAGATGTTGACTTCCTCTGCCGGTATACAGGAGGTCTGTGTCTCTGTCTCTCATCATCATCATCACTGTGGCTATGAGATGTTGACTACCTCGCCTGGTACACAGGAGGTCTGTGTCTCATCATCACGGTGGCTAGGAGATGTTGACTACCTCGCCTGGTATACAGGAGGTCTGTGTCTCTCTCTCTCATCATCATCACGGTGGCTATGAGATGTTGACTACCTCGCCTGGTACACAGGAGGTCTGTGTCTCTCATCATCATCATCATCATCACGATGGCTATGAGATGTTGACTACCTCGCCTGGTATACAGGAGATCTGTGTCTCTCTCTCTCATCATCACTGTGGCTATGAGATGTTGACTACCTCGCCCGGTATACAGGAGGTCTGTGTCTCTCTCATCATCATTATCATCATCACGGTGGCTGTGAGATGTTGACTACCTCGCCTGGTCTACAGGAGGTCTGTGTCTCTCTCATCATTATCATCATCAAGGTGTCTATGAGATGTTAACTACCTCGCCTGGTATACAGGAGGTCTGTGTCTCTCTCATCATCATCATCACGGTGGCTATGAGATGTTGACTACCTCGCGTGGTATACAGGAGGTCTGTGTCTCTCTCATCATCATTATCATCATCAAGGTGGCTATGAGATGTTGACTACCTCGCCTGGTCTACAGGAGGTCTGTGTCTCTCTCATCATCATCATCATCAAGGTGGCTATGAGATGTTGACTACCTCGCCTGGTATACAGGAGGTCTGTGTCTCTCTCTCATCATCATCAAGGTGGCTATGAGATGTTGACTACCTCGCCTGGTCTACAGGAGGTCTGTGTCTCTCTCTCATCATCATCAAGGTGGCTATGAGATGTTCACTACCTCGCTTGGTACACAGGAGGTCTGTGTCTCTCTCATCATCATCATCATCATCAAGGTGGCTGTGAGATGTTGACTACCTCGCCTGGTCTACAGGAAGGTCGTGGGTTCGATCCCGACCCTAACAACGCCTGTGCAAGAGAGGCTTGAACATTCTCGGTAGTGTAGCAGCTACGAACCCGGCGTCCCGACTTCGATCCCGGCTCACGGCCAACGCCACTCCGGTGACGATTTTCTGCACCGGTCCCGGGCCTCCCCTAGGTCGACTCGGCCTCAAATGAGTACCTCTGCAGTGGTGAACATCGCTAGCACTGGGGGGAAGACAAAGGCGGCCGGGCGTGGTTGCTGGCCACCCACCCCATCGTAACCTTCACAGGTGGTGCTGCTGCTGCTGCTCGCTACTCGCAGCACTTGCCCCTACGGCGTGTTGAGGCTGCACGGGGGACCTTTGCCTTTGTTGCGTGTGCGTGGCAGGGCCCTCGCGGAGAGAGGGGGGAGAAAGGGGAGGGGGGCAACCCCGGCTCCCCGGGCGGCGCCGGGGCAAAGGGACCCGCTGGCGAGGACGGACCCAAGGGCAACCCGGTAGTGCACACACACACACACAGACACACACACCCTACACACACACATCCTACACACACACACCCTACACACACACATCCTACACACACACACCCTACACACACACATCCTACACACACACACCCTACACACACACACACACAGACACACACACATACATACACCCTACACACACACCCTACATACACACACCCTACACACACACACACACACAGACATACATACATACATACACCCTACACACACACACCCTACACACATACATACACACACCCTACACACACATACATACACACATACACATACACACATACACCCTACACACACACACCCTACACACACACACCCTACACACATACACACACACCCTACACACACACACCCTACACACATACACACACACCCTACACACACATACATACACATACATACACACATACATACACACACACACCCTACACACACCCTACATACACACACCCTACACACACACACCCTACACACACACACCCTACACACACATACAAACACACCCTACACACACACATCCTACACACACCCTACACACACACACAGACACATACATACACATACACACACACATACACACACACATACACACACACACATACGGACACACACACACACATATACACACACATACACACACACATACATACACACATACACGTACACACACACGTACACATACACGTACACACACACACGTACACACACACATACACGTACACACACGCACACACACACGTACACGTACACACACACACACGTACACACACACACATACACACGTACACACACACGCACACACACGCACACACACACAAGTACACACACACACGCGTACACACACACACGTACACACACACGTACACACACGTACACACACGCACACACACACACGTACACACACACGCATGCACACACGCACGCACACACACGCACACACACACACGCACACACACGCACACGCACACACACACGCACACGTACACACACACACACACGCACACACACACACACGTACACACACACACGTACACACGTACACACACACACACGTACACATGCACGTACATACGCACGCGTACACACGCACACACGTACACACACACGCACGCACACACGTGTACGCACACACACGCACACACGCACACGTACACACACACACACACGTACACACACACACGCACACACACACGCACACACGCACACGTACACACACACACACACACGCGCACACACACACACGCGTACACACGCACGCGTACACACACACTCAACAACAGCCGCCATTCGCCAGTAAGTGGCGGTGATACCACCACGACGCCTGTGCCAGGCTAGGTGCACTTTGAGGCAATCACGTGACGTGTCGAAAGCTCGCTGACAGCAGGTCACGTGACAGAGCCTGCAGCTGCCACGTGTTCACTGACTGAGATGACCGTCAAATGGACCACCTGTGCCACCCGCTGTGCCAGGCTAGGTGCATTAGGTCACGGGACAGACCCTGCAGGTGCCACGTGTTCACTGACTGAGATGACCGTCAGATGCACCACCTGTGCCACCCGCTGTGCCAGGCTAGGTGCAGGAGCTCACGGGACAGACCCTGCAGGTGCCACGGGTTGACTGACTGAGATCACTGGCAGATGCGCCACCTGTGCCACCCACTGTGCCAGGCTAGGTGCATGAGGTCACAGGACAGAATCTGCAGGTGCTACGTGTTCACTGACTGAGATGACCGTCAGATGCACCACCTGTGCCACCCGACTGTGCCAGGCTAGGTGCATGAGGTCACAGGACAGAACCTGCAGGTGCTACGTGTTGACTGACTGAGATGACGGGCAGATGCACCACCTGTGCCACCCGCTGTGCCAGGCTAGGTGCATTTTATCCACCCAGCGCTCTGCTCATTGTTTATCCCGACCCTGACGATTCCAGCTTCTATTTGAAGTCTGCGTCTCTCTCATCATCATCATCATCACGGTGGCTATGAGATGTTGACTACCTCGCCCGGTCTACAGGAGGTCGTGGGTTCGATCCCGACCCAGACGATGCCTCTACTGCTGCTGTATATTTGGAGTCTGCGTCTCTCTCATCATCATCATCACGGTGCCTAGGAGATGTTAACTACCTCGCCCGGTCTACAGGAGGTCGTGGGTTCCATCCCGACCCAGACGATGCCTGCTGCTGCTGCTGTAGATTTGGAGTCTGCGTGTCTCTCTCATCATCATCATCACGGTGGCTATGAGATGTTGACTACCTCGCCTGGTATGCAGGAGGTCGTGGGTTCGATCCCGACCCTGACGATGCCTGCTGCTGCTGCTGTAGATTTGAAGTCTGCGTCTCTCTCATCATCATCATCATCATCACGGTGGCTATGATATGTTGACTACCTCGCCTGGTCTACAGGAGGTCGTGGGTTCGATCCCGACCCTGACGATGCCTGCTGCTGCTGCTGTAGAATTGGAGTTTGCGTGTCTCTCTCATCATCATCATCATCACGGTGGCTATGAGATGTTAACTACCTCGCCCGGTCTACAGGAGGTCGTGGGTTCCATCCCGACACTGACGATGCCTCTACTGCTCTATTTTGTGGAGACCTCCGGTCTTTTGCCCCCTCCACATTCACAGTCGACGTCGCACGTTCAGAGTGTTTGGGCCCTCTCACCATTACGTGTGCCCAGGTCAGCGTGGAACCAACCAACCATGCTCAGCGGGGAACCAACCGTTCCCTGTTTGAATGAAAATAGTTTGCGGGTTTCGTAGCTAGGAGCGGGGTCGCTCCTCTCCGCCCGGAGGGCGATTGCCTCCTGCCGACCAGCAAGGAAGCGTCGTTCACCACACCCAACATGAGACACGGGCACTCACTTGCGCGCGTGCGTTCTGTGTCCCGTGTCTGTGTGTGTGTGTGTGTCTGTCTGTCTGTCTGTACAGGGCCCGGTTGGATTCCCCGGGGACACAGGACCCAGGGGAGAGGTTGGATCCCCGGTAAGGTCCTGCCTCCACCACCTCCTTCTCCCCCCTCCTTCTCCCCCCACCCCCCTCCTCCTCCTCCTCCTCCCTCTTCCTCCCTCCCCCCTCCTCCTCCTCACTTCTCCTCACTCCATTCACACTCCACTCACACCCAGACAGAGCTCCACTCACACCCAGACAGAGAATCCACTCACACCCAGACAGAGCTCCACTCACACCCAGACAGAGCTCCACTCACACCCAGACAGAGCTCCACTCACACCCAGACAGAGCTCCACTCACACCCAGACAGAGCTCCACTCACACCCAGACAGAGCTCCACTCACTCCCAGACAGAGCTCCACTCACACCCAGACAGAGCTCCACTCACACCCAGGCAGAGCTCCACTCACACTCAGACAGAGCTCCACTCACACCCAGACAGAGCTCCACTCACACCCAGACAGAGCTCCACTCACACCCAGACAGAGCTCCACTCACACCCAGACAGAGCTACACTCACACCCAGACAGAGGTCCACTCCCCACTCAGACAGAGCTCCACTCACACCCAGACAGAGCTCCACTCACACCCAGACAGAGCTCCACTCACACCCAGACAGAGCTCCACTCACACTCAGACAGAGCTCCACTCACACTCAGACAGAGCTCCACTCACACCCAGACAGAGCTCCACTCACACCCAGACAGAGCTCCACTCACACCCAGACAGAGCTCCACTCACACCCAGACAGAGCTCCACTCACACCCAGACAGAGCTCCACTCACACCCAGACAGAGCTCCACTCACACCCAGACAGAGCTCCACTCGCACCCAGACAGAGCTCCACTCGCACCCAGACAGAGCTCCACTCACACCCAGACAGAGCTCCACTCGCACCCAGACAGAGCTCCACTCGCACCCAGACAGAGCTCCACTCACACCCAGACAGAGCTCCACTCACACCCAGACAGAGCTCCACTCACACCCAGACAGAGCTCCACTCACACCCAGACAGAGCTCCACTCTCACACCCAGACAGAGCTCCACTCACACCCAGACACCCGTGCACTCCCATAGGTGACGCTGCTTGCTCACAGCACTTGCCCCAACAGTCCGTTAAGGCTACACGGGGGATCTTTGTCTTTGCCCAGGGTCAAGATGGAGCTCCTGGAGAGAAAGGAGAGGATGGTGAACAAGGACAGACTGTAAGCTGTGCTCACCTCACCACTCACCACCACCTCACCACTTTGTGTGTGTGTCTGTGTGTGTGTCTGTGTGTGTGTACGTGTGTGTGTGGGGAGCGATAGTGTAGCGGTTAGCGCTACGCTGCGCTATGAACCCGGCGACCCGGGTTCGATTCCCGCTCACGGCCAACACCGGTGACGATTATCTGAACCGGTCTCGGGCCTCTGCTAGGTCGACTCAGCCTCAAATGAGTACCTGGTGCGGTGTGTAAACATTGCCACTAGGGAGACAAAGGTGGTCGGGCGTGGTGCTGGCCACCCACCCCCTCGTGTACCGTTCCGGCCTTTCATAGGTGCTCGCTAACAGCACTTGCCCCTACAGTCTGTTAAGGCTACACGGGGGATCTTTGTCTTTGTCTGTGTGTCTACGTTCATATGTGTGTCTGTGTGTGCACCTGCAGGGTTCTCCAGGTGTGACTGGTGAAGCTGGCCTGCCTGGGCCTACAGGAAAGAGGGTGTGTACAGCACACACAGCACACAGCACACACAGCACAGCACACACAGCGCACACGAACAGCACAACAACTACAACAACAACAGCAACCGACAATCGCCGCAAAGTGGCGGTGACGTCACCACGGCACTCGTGCCAGGCCATGTGCACCCTGAGGCCACGTGAAGTGTCGAACGCCCGCTGGCAGGTCACGGGGCAGACCCAGGTGCCACGGGTCGACTGACTGAGATGACTGGCTGATGCACCACCTGTACCCCCTACTGTGCCAACCTGCTGTGCTTTAGCCACCCGGCGCTCCGCTCGTTGGTGTGAGCGTCGCTCCTCCGCCCTCCGTTGTTGTTGGAGGGCGACTGCCTCCAACTGCCCAGTAGCGTCCTTCACGAGCCTCCTCCACAGAGGCCGATCTTGACACCGCTGGTACCGGTCATCGGCAAGTCCACTCAGCTCCACGTCCTCCTGTACCACATCACTCCATCTCATCTCTAGCCTGTGCCGTGTCCATTTAGCCCTCTATATGGCCAAACAAAAGCTGTTTGGGCATGCGGTGAATGGGCATGTGGGCTAGGCAGGCCAGCCTGAATGTTTCTAACTGGCGAAGATGTTCCATTAGGGGTGTCCACGTTTCACAAGCGTAGAGAAGGGAGGGCATGACCGTGGCCAAGAAGCCCCGAAGCTTCGTGCGGAGCGACAGACCAGGTAGCTTCCACACAGCGTTACGCAGGCAATGAAGAGTTAATGTCGCTCGACTGATTCGGAGTGAGACCTCTGCTGTCAAACCGGAACCAGTCATAAGCACACTGCCCAGGTATGGGAAACTCTCCACTCTCTCCACAACAGCCCCATC